AAGTGTTTGGTTACTAGTTACCTCTGGTCCTGAGAGATGGTTCTTAAACTTGCCAGGAAGAGCTGTCTGGATGTTGATGCCTGGAATCCTGAGCGGGATTAACTGGTGACCCATGATGGTTACCCAGGGAGGTGTCAGGGATGCTCTAGCAGAGGCCTCCCTTGGTCTCTGTGAACGCTGTTTGTGCTGTCGTAACGAGGTCTGAGTGACTCCAAGGCTCCTTGTTGCGTAGCCAGCTCTCCTGGCGTGCAGCGGAACCGGAGGAAATGGCTGTGTAAACAGCTTGGTGGTGGGCTGAAAGGAAGAGAGCCCAAGAGGTGTACTTCTCCAAAGACTACAGGCGTGGTTGCTCCCGAGCAGTCTTTGATCTGCTGGTGGTGGGTTGTGTTCCTCGGCAGCTCCTGCCCTGCTGGGCACAGCCCCCTGCCACAGCAGGTCTGGGGAGATGAGGCTGGTCTCCAAAGGGGACCACTGGTGGCTTCTGTTGTGCTTATCTGAGGAAGCAATTTCTAAGCAGCATTTTATTGTGGACTACCTTTCGAACTTTCTCCAGAGACCCAAGCAAGGGTTTGGTGGGGATGGGAGCAGACACCCTGTGGCCATCCTCCTTTTTTTCCTCAGCCTGGTGTGTTACTTTGCAGTCTGCTCAGTTGACCTGGTTTCTTCGTGCTTGCTCAGTCAATAGTCCTGTTACGCAGCCTAATTGTTATTTGACTTGAGCTGGGGCTCCTGTCTTGGGCAGGTAACTCTGCTTATGTACCTCTCCTGCAGGCTTCTGGTTTGCTTTTGGTGGAGCTGCTCTGGAGAGATGGAGAGGAATGTCCCAGCCTGCTCCCAAGGATGTGCATCCAGGGCAGCATCTCAAAGCCTGCATGTGGACAGAACACCTCTGCTCAACCCCAGTGCCATTATCGGTGCTGGAAAAGCTGTGCCCTGCACCGTGAGCAAAAAGCCAAGGCTAACAGGGATCCAAGGAGCGTAGCTACCGCAGGCAATTGCTTGGCCTGGCTGCTGTGTCTTGTACTTGGGCTGCTGTCCTGAGGGCATGCTGGAGAACAGCATCAGGACAGAGAGGGGCTGAGACCAACTCTGCCTGGCTGCTGCAGCCTTCCAGAGCTTGAGAGCTCCCCTGGGTTAGAGGGACTAACTCCTCTTACATTATTAAGCAGGGGTCCAAGCCCACTTCTTTAGGCGAGGGTGTCAGGTTTTGTTGGCGCAAAGCGTGGTGTGCTGTCTTCTGCCTCATTGGAGGAAAAAACTAATGACCTCTTCTACTCTTTTGTCTTCACATCATTGTAGCAGATGATTCTCCAGGTGAGAAGACGACAGATGTAGATCAGGGGACAGCTCGGGGGGGCAGCTGTTGGCAGAGCCTCTAAGAGGCAGAGGACACAGGGACACCCTTGCGGAGCAGTTAGTGTTTCCCAAGCTCCCTGACTCCTGCAAGGCTCTTGGAAGGTGGGCAGAATCCAACCTGGTGCTGACCTGACGAGGCCTGTGAACTAAACCGTCTTGCGCTATCCTAAACTGTGTTGGTGGGAGGAGGGTAAGAGCTGTGGTGGATTTGCTGGTCTGAGCATGCGTTTAAGAGCAGATTGAAACATGGGCCAGAGCTGTGCAAAAAATCCAAGGAGATCTTCAGCAGACAGGCAGGCAAGAGTGGTAGGCAGCCAACGTAGATGAGCTGGAAGGGAAAAAGGAAGCACAGAGAAAGTAGAAGGATGGGGGACAGGCTGCCCTGAAGGAACAGACATTGCTTGAGTGTGCAGGGATGGCGTTGGGAGAGCCAAAGCTCAGCTGGAGTTGGAAGGACAAAAAGAACAGCTTCTGTATTAAGAAGGGCTTCAGCAGCAGCAGGAAGGCTTTGGAAAAATGCAAACCTGATCCTTAACGGAGCAGTGGACTTAGTAGCAAAGGACATGGAAAAGACCAAGGTACTCGGTGCTGCTCTTGCCTTGATTTTGGCTGGCAAGGTCTGTCTTCAGACCTCCCAGGGTGCGAGCCTAATGGCAGAGTCTGAGGGAAGCATCTGAAGGTGCTGAGGAAACCAGTCAGTGTCATGGCACTCTCATCTTTGAAAAGTCCTGGTGATCCGGGGAGGTTTGTGACACCTGGAGAAAGGCAAATGTCCTACCCGTCTTCAAGAAGGGCAAGAAGGAAGATCTGGGGAACTACCCCGTGGCACTCTCCAAGGAGGTGGGTGGCTGTGTGGACAAGGGGAGAGCAGAGAATGTTCATCTGGACTTTAGCAAGGCTTTTGACGTGGTCTCCTGTAGCCTCCTTGTAGCGGAATTGAAGACATGGGGGCTGGAAAAGAGGATTGTTGGGTGCATGGCAAATTGGCTGGGCCAGCACCACGTTCAGCGTGGTCAGCAGTACGACGACTAACTGGTGCTGGTTGTTGACGTCCCTCGGAATCACTGGTAAGGCCAACTGATCCCATCTTGGCTCCCTAGGGCAAGAAACCAGTGAGAGGCTGGCATGAGCCTTGGCAGAGGCCCCCAGGACAGTTCCCACTGCAGCACAAGATGGATGGGGAGAGGCCATGGCAGACTGGTGTGACCAGCCTGGAGGAGAGAAAGTGAGGGGGGGACCTTACTGCTGTCTGCAAATAGTTGATGGGAGAGTGTGGAGAAGATTGAGCCAAACCCTTTTAGGAGGTGTCGCAGTGAGAGGGCAAGAGGCAAAGGAGACAAACCGGAGCAGAGGAAACTCTGTCTCGAATTAAGGAAAAGCTTTCTCACAGTCAGTGTGTCAGACAGCGGAGAAGGTGCCCAGAGATACTATGGGGTCTCCATCCTTGGAGATGTTCCCACCTCAGCTGGGCACAGCACTGAGCAGCCTAACTGGCCCAGTCTAGAGCAGAGGGTTGGAGCCAGAGGTGACCACCAACCAACACCACTCAAGGAGTCTGTAGCAGTTGAGAGCTGTGGGAGAAGCTGTTGCTGTGAGAGCACACAGGACATGGCCACTGGGAGGGCAACGGGCTGCCCATGTCAGGACAGCACGGGAGCATCTAGGCTGGGAGGGGAGCGGGGGCCAGAGGAAAGGATGAAGCGGTGGTCTGCAGCCAGGGGTAAAGAGCTCCTGCTATTACCCCCAGACCATAGTAAGTGCTTCAGCTCCCCAAGGGTGATCTAGGGATGGAGAGGAACACCAGGACCCCTTACTGGGACGGTTCTGGTACTATAGGATAGAGCTGAAAATGCCCAGCCCGTGTCCTGTGGAGGGGAAGACAGAGGAGGTGGGTTGCTCTGGACATCCTGATGGGCCTGGGCTTGCGCAACAGGCAGGGAATGCTTGTGCACATGGATGTCTTTCTCTGCCCTGCTCCTGGAGTCGATGTTCTGCTGCACTGATACCCAGCATGTTCCAGCACACGGGACCCAGTATTTTGGGGAGTGAGCTTGGGGTTTGGCTTGCCTGGAGCTCCTTTGTGCTTCCAAGCTTCAATAGAAGCCATCTTCTGGTGGGTGCAATGGGACAGCTGCTCTCTCCATGTCCTGAATATGCTTGCATGTCAAAGCAGGGACCTGGTGCCCTTTCGGAGAAGTTCCCATACCCGTAGCCGGGTCTTCAAAGCCATAGATCCAGCCAGGACTGTTGTTGGTGGACGCTGTCTCAGTTGAATGGTGAGCACCCTGTGTTCTTCCTCTTCCTGCTGCTCATCTGCCCGCTGACGTACCTCGGGAGGCTTGAGGAGGTGCCTCCACAGAGGTTGGTCCTTGCCCTGAGCTGCTGTGTGTTGTGGTTGGGCTCTATGGAGACGCCGTCCCTGCAGGGAGATGGCTTCCTGCCTTTGCTTTCACGCTGAAGGTGGTTTCAGAAGCAATGCGGCCCTGGGTGCACGCAGCAGGAGGGCAACATCACCCAGCCCTTCCAGGGATCAGCTTCTCCCGAGTTATTCCACCTCTGGGCAAACAACTCTGGGAGCCTTCAGTTGGCAGATTGCCGCTCAGGCAGCCTGGAGCTTGGTGGTTTGCCCAAAAGGGGCGATTTGGGGGACAAGGTGGCTGGCACCCTCCATCCCAGCTGATGCTGGCCATGGGGACCAGGCTGCTGGCTGAGAGCAGCTCTTCTGGCTCCCTCACACCTTCTCCTGAGTCTCTGGTAGGGCCACCTGAGCCAGCGCTGAGAAGTATTGGATCCAGTGAAGTCCTGCAGTGCTCCACGAGGCACAGGCCAGCTTTCCGCTCCATCCTGGAGCGCTTCCGGCTCGTTGCCTGGTCCAGAGCCTTCCCTGGGGAGCAGAGTGGTCGATGCGCTCACTCCTGTTTCTCCAAGAAGGCCACCTGGCCTCTGTCTCTCGCCCTCGCTTTGGGGCAACTGTTTGTCATTTTTAGCGTGTCACCTGGGTCATTTCTGCTCTGGAGAAGCCTTGCATGCAGCACCCTGCCAGTGGGCACCAGCACCCATCCTCTGGAGAAGCACCTTGTGGTGAGCACCAGCACCCACCCCCACTGACTCCCCTTGTAGATGCCTGGTGCAAGGTGACGGGGCTGGGCTGACTTCCCAGCGCTGGGAAAGGTGGAGCTGCCATTTTCATGCTTGCTGGCCCATCTTCAGGAAGAAATACGTCGCTGTGAACCACCTCGGGGAGCGGCAGGACAGGGAGAGGTCATGGACCCTCGACCCTTGAAGGCTGGAGCCACGGGGAGATGCTGCTGCTGCTGGCTGGGAGGCACGGGTGGGGTGTCCCACTCACCCAGGTGAAGCCACGCAGGAGGAGAAGGGCTGGGCAGCGGTGCCCTCTATTCTTGGCGGGGCCAGTGGGCCACGGGCGCTGTCACTTTCATTTCGCTTCTCTTGCTCAGGCGGTAAATCTCGCCTGACGGAGCAGGAAGAGGCACCGAGCGCTGGGAGGGGGAGGAGGGACGGAGGCGGCAGCGCTGCCGGTTGGTAACCTCAGCGCTTCCTCCTCGCAGGGTGCCTTTCCAGCGGTGCCCAGGGATGCTGCCCTGACACCCGCATCCCCAGGCAGGTGACCTGTGGTCCCAACCATGGCTTCATCCCCCGGAGGGATCCCCGCTGAGCTGCAAGGTAAGCATCGCCCGCTGCCGGGGCACTGATGCCACATGGAAGGTGCTGGTATGGGGCCTGCTCAGCCCTGTTTTGCCAGCAAAGCTGCTTTCAGGTTCCTCAGCAGCAGCAGCTGCGGTTCGGGGGGGTCTGAGCAGGGTCTGGGGTGTGAGAGCTGCTCTTGGCCTCAAAACTCCCACGCTTGAGGATGCTGCTCAGGCCAAAAGCATCCCCAGATAACAGCCTGGCTCCTCAAGGACGTCGTTCTCCGTGGCTTCTGCTGCCACATTTTGTGGGACACCCCGGGGGGTCTCT